CTTTTTTTTTTTTTTTTTTTTTTTTTGGTACCAGGGATCGAACTCTGATCCTTGCACTTGTGAAGCAGGCAGTGGACCCACAGTTGATTTTTAACACAGCCTTGTCACTTTGTTTTAATGTACTTGTTCATGTCCATGTCACTCTTATTTATGGCCAGTATCTCAACCAGAATCCCAGCTCCCTGGAGAAGTCATGTTTGTCACGCTGGAACAAGTGTGCTCTATGGAAACGGGTATGCTGAGCTACACTTTCACCTGCCCTGTCCTCCCTGGGATACCCTCCTGTCTGGGTGAGGATATCCCTTCCTCCATAAACACTGCAGGGAAAAGCCTCTCCTCAGAGGACACTGCAGGCATCCAGGTGACAACCTGGGCACTAGGCCCTCAGCTGGAACTGATGGGAAATGCTGAAGAGCCCATGGCTATTGTGGCCCACCAGGGAAAACTCTCCCCACAGGAGGGCACACCTTGGGAGGCCTCAAGGACAGAGCATCTTGGAGGACAAAAGAAAAGGGCCATGTCTTTGCTGTGACATTAATCCCTGAGCACGTCACAGGCCTCCCTCAGCTCAGCACGCTGCCCTTGGCCTATGACTCTGCCTGGGCTCACCAGCCTGTGTGACTTTATTCCTCATTAAAAAGGAGGTGGAAAATTCCACAGGACAACATACATCTAGACTGCTGAGACTCATGACAGCTGCACGGTCACACTTGGCCAGCCATGCTGAGCCCAGCACACTGGTGAAATAATTGGCATTTGCTTGGTGGCACGTGAGACCAGAAGAACAGCATCCCCAATGGCTCTGCCTGGCTGCCTGTTACTCCCACACACGTCTATTTTGCACAGTGCTCTTGCGAGATACACAAATGGCAAGACGTTTATCTAAAAACATTTTCCAAAATGCATGTTAGAAGTCAGTACCCCTGTAGCCCAAGCCCACAGGTTCAGATGTGAGCTTGTTCCCAGTGGGGCACCCATCTACAAAGCTCTTCTTCCTGGCCAGACAGCGAGGGCCCAACAACGTTTCTGGCAAGGGCTATAATGAAAATTTTCCCCAGTTCTGGAGGGACCTAAGTGTCTCCCAAATACAAACAGCCTTCTGAGCAGGGTCCCCTCCATGTGTGAGGCTGGGGTCCTCAGAGCGGGTGTCAGGGTCCTGAGAGCCAGGAGGACACGCCCAGGCATAGCCCCAGCCCGTTACAGTGGGTTTGTCGAACATTTCCACTGACCTTGTAGCTCACTTGTCCTCTTTAGCTGACTCCGCTCTGCTAGGAAATCCACCTGTTGAATTTCACACATCTCTGCTTTAGAGCCGTCATCATTTTTTTCTGGTACCGGGGACCAAACTTGGGACTTTGTGCTTGTGAGGAAGGTGCAGTGAATCCCCAGCCCTAGAACTGTCATTTTAAAAAGTGAATTCCAATTCCCTGTGAAACTCCATCTTTTCAGTTTTCTCTGTATGCTTAGCCACAACTATTCCAATGCCCACATCTGACAAGTCTCCATCTCCTGTGACTTGTCATCTTTCCTCTTCTGCTCCCATTTCTCAGTGTGCCTTGCTGCTTCTGATGGCATCAGGCACATGCATGATGGAATGCAGGAGCCTGGGCTCACCCTCTCTGTGGTGGGCAGCAGGACAGGCTGCTACAGACCTGTCAGGGACTGGCTGACACTGTGCCCTCTGCAGGCGTTGTAAAGACCAGTCTGCCTAGGGCCTCCTGCCTCCCAACCCCGAGCCTGGATTATTTCTTAGGGCCCTTCCTCCTGACTATCCAACTTCTTCCCTAGCTCCAAGACACTGACACTTCTGGCTTCTTTTCCTGGGACAGCTCCATGAGCAAATGCCCAGAGAGAAATTGGTGCTGGGTGTTGGTCTCTTCTCTGACCTCCTTCCTCTCAGATCCTGGCCCTGGGATCCCACTGCCTCAGCTTGGTCTCTCCATCATAAAATGTTACCTGTGGCCTCTGGCCTTGCTTCTGAGCATCCTGCCCAACCAGGGCTCAGGGGGCAAGAGCCTGCACAGGAGCAGGAAGGGGCTCACCTCTGCGAGCTTTGCCTCTGCCTCTGCAGGGCTGCCAGCCACTCCACAGGCCTCCAGTAGGTGCCCTCTACCTTAGAAACTTGAGCCCTGGTCAGTCGTGAACTGCTCCACAACAGAAGCAGTCTGCAAGTGACACTGCAAAGAGGAAATGGCATGGATGAGTCGATACTCGGCCAAATGGCATAGGCACGTGGCCATCTCCAGCGACAGATGTCCTGTCATGTGTGCCAGGTGATGGAGGGGGGTAGAAATCAACACAAGGATCTTCCCTCTGCCCAGCCAAGTATCCTCATCTGATGTCCTGGTCCACCTTGTCCTAACAATGAGGGTGGCACACGCCAGGATTTAGGACTGGCAGCTCCTCAGAGAACCAGGGGCCAGCCCTCGGCTCGTCCTAAGCCTGGCTTCTGGAGAAGGGTACCCTGGGGCCTACAGACTGCCAGCTCAGAGCAGCTTCCTTCCTGGGGATTCTGCCCTCTGGGCCAGAGAGCAGTGCTGATTCCTCACAAAAACCGCACATCACTGCAGAGCCTCCTGCCCAGGACTAGTGTGGGGCTCCTCTTCAGGCACTACTGTTGTTGCATCTTGACAATTTCAGTTGTGTTTCCCAAACAGGTTCCTACCTCAGGACCCTAGCAGTGTCGCCCTGCCAGAGTGTTCTCCTCCTCCACAGCTCGCGCCCCCAGCCTCTGGCCACAGTCACCCTATGTCCTCACCGACCTCTTTACCTCACCACTGATTTGCATCTGACATCCACTGCATGCTCAGGCTCACCCTATAAGGTGTAAATCCATGAGAGCTGGGGCGAGGCAGCAGCACACGGGGGAGGCACTTGCAGGTGCTCACTGAGAACCCAACGACTGGAGGGAAAGTCAGGAGCCTTCTCATACTGAACAGCAGGGCACCTGAGCTCTGCTCTCACAGCTGTCTAACTAGCCCTGCTTCAGCATAAGCATCTGGCATGAGAGGGCAGCTCAGCCCTGACAAACAAGAGGGGGCCAAAATGAACTCGGCATTCCTCAGTCCTGGCAGAGGGAGGCAAATCATCTTGGGGATAGAGGAACCTGCAGCATCGTTCTGTCGGGGAGACAGTCTAGGCTAAGGGGTCTGTCCCAGCAGTGCTCAGAAAACAGGCCTCGGCAGCACTTGCTGGTGTGGCAGTCTCAGCAAAAGGGGGAGCACTGCAGGACAGCCACCCTCATGGAGGAGCAAGTGCGGAAGTGAGCTACCATGCCAAATGAAGCCTCACACTGGTCGGCAGAACCAGGCCCAGAACCAGATGGACAGTATAGTCCCCAAGACATGGTGGCTGTTGTGGCTCTGAACCACAGAACCTTGGGCCTGAGGGACAAAGCAGACTGTTCACTCTTTCCTGGGTAGGTGGGAGGCTGGTCTCAGGCTTCACCACCTCCCCTAGCTCCCGGCTATTGATTCCGCCATCTGCTCACCTTTGGTCGCCTGGGCATCTCAGGGCCTCAGCATACGTAACACCGAGACACCATGGCCCTGCCAGTGACAGTCCTGTCCTGGGTGTGAGGAGACCATGATCCCCAAAGTCCCCTGAGTCTCCTGGGCCACTGCCCAGGGAAAGCCATGAGCTGTTATGTTTTCTCTACCTCAACTTCTTAAGAGTTGGGGGTGGGATTTAGCTCAGTGGTTCCGCCACCTACTTCACAAGTACACATGATATCTATAAAATACTGGGAAAAATCCTGTCAACTATAATTAATTTTATCCAACAAAAATATAATCCAAAAACGAGCTCTTTCATCTCGGCCACTGCTATGCCGTCCAGACTAAGGAACCCCTGGAAACTTGGGGGCCACATGAACACCGACACAGCTACATCTGCAAGTGCCAGAAGCATCCAAGCAGTGCAGGTAACGGGGCACACATCACCACAGGACAACTTCAACAAGTGTCATCCAGGTTACTCTGGAAAAGGTGGCATGAGGCATTACCACTTGAGGAGGAGCAAGAGCTTCTGCCCAACTGTCAACCTTGATAAATTGTGGATGCTGATCAGTGAGCAGGCACCAGTAAATACTGTGAAAAACAAGACTGGAACGTCTCTCATTATTGATGTCATGAGACTGGCCTACTACAAAGTTCTGGGGTTGGCAAAGTCCCCAAAGCAGCCTATCATCATGAAAGCCAAATTATTCAGCAGAACTGCTGAGGGTAAAACTAAAGGTGTTGGTGGGGGAGACTGTATCCTGGTGTCTTGAAGCCACACAAGAGAGATGTGTGCTAAATCTAACAAATGCTTTTCAGAACAAACAAAGTAACAATAACAAATAAAAATGAAAGCAGGTAAGGTACTTGAAAGTTGCTACTTGTATCCTTACACAAAATAATCTTAACTGAAAACCAATAATTTTTAGATCCATCAGAGAACTGAGGTACCCTAGAGACAGGTGGCAACACAGCCACAGGTTAGCAGCAGCTGCCTAGGAACAAATGCCACAGCAAGGCTCAAGTGTGACCGATGACTTGATAAAGTTTGATGTGGGCAAATCCAAGTATTACAAAGTATCAGGAAGGTCCTTTCTTAGGGGGATCCACACCCTTGTATGAGTTTCACCTCCAAGTTCTCATAGTGAAGACCAGAGAAAAGCACCCTCATATTTCCACCGTGTCGCAGTAGTCTGGATCATTTCACCGTTGACAAGGTCTATCCTCTCAAGGAAACTGTTTTGTTCAGTAGTGGGGATCAAATCAGGGCCTTGTACTTCAGAGGCAGGTGAGGCACCAATGAGATAAATCCTCAGTCCTCAAGAAACTATTTTACCAGTGTGGTTTACTAAGGTGTTACCAGAACCCAGTCTACCCAGGGAAAGGGAAACGTCCGACCCAAATTCCTTTTTCACAGGCCCATAAAAAGACTGACACCTGCTCACAGGACCACAGAACCCTCCTCTTACTATCCCATCAGTAAGGCTTCTTTATAATAGCTGGAACAAAACTGAAGAAAACCATACATCTCAGACCTGATTAAAAGAGTCTCTTAAGAAAGCCCAAAGCAGAGGAAGAAATAAGGACACAGAAAATTTTAGCTCTGACACCTATAGCTACAGCAAACAGTAAATACAGCTCAAACTCCTAGCCAGATAGACATTAAAAATTCACACCACAGGACTATCCACAATTCCTTTTAACCAGTAGTCCAGGTCTGGTTTCAAAAAACTACAAGACAGTTAAAAAAAAAAAAATCAGGTTCTGAAGATAAATAGCAAATATCAGAAACAAACTGAGATATGGCAAAGAGGACTAACAACTCTGATTTAAAACAACTACATCATCACTAGTTCCAGGCTTGCCTGGGCTACACAGTGAGACCGTCTTTAAAAAACCAAAAAAATAAATAAAAATAAAATAAAATCCACCTAATCACCCTGTCAGACCAACATCGTCTCCAAGTATCTGGGAGAGGGTGCTGGCCTGCCCAGACAGAATCAGGTGACAAGGCTACTCCATCCACAGAGAAGCCCCAGGCAGATGTGCCCCTCTGGGCAAGAGGCTGGAGAAGGATGCTCAGTGGGGGACTGGGAGAAAGGGCGTCCCATTGTGTGGAGGAGCTGAGCCTGGACAGGCCAGGACTGCAGAGCAGAGACTGGTTACTAACCACAGGCCTTTTAGGGTCCCAAAGGAAATGTCTGCCCAAAGTAAGAATCAGATTTCATTTGAACAGCGCAGAACATGCCTGTTTGCATTTCCTCGGTTTCCAAATTTCGTGGTAATTTCCAACATGCATATCAGGTAATACCTGACTCCAAGTCCCTGTGTGAGGTGGGCTTGCTCTTCACTTACTTACCCATCTGAAAGCCAATGGTAGCCTGGACTTCCTGGAGCCGCAGAGCGGGAATAGACCTCCTCTCTATCAGCCACCATGAAGGCTGAGTAGAAACCCACTCCAAACTGGCCAATGATCTTGCTGCTGGCCTCCGCCTGGTCCTGTAGTGCTTCCAGGAAGGCCTGTAGTGGCAAAGGCTCGTCAGGAGGAGGCTGCTCCCTTCTGCACTGGAGCTGGCATACGTGACTTCTATACATGTAGTTCCTCCAGCACAGGAAATTCTGAACAACCACAATGACAACTCCCCACACCACCACCATTTTATGCATAAAAACTAAGCAATGCTGGGAGTAGTGGCACATGCCTGTAATCCCAGCTCAGAAATGAAAAAATAGGAATAAAGTGTTTGTAAATGGGAGGGGAGGAGGGGGTGAAGGGAGGGCAGGGACAAGGGGAAAAAATGAGAACCTAGACCTGTCATGTAAAGTTACAAGATCCCAATGATGAATGTAACTGTACTGTATACCTAAAATGTACCAATAAACTCAATTAAAAAAAAAATCCCAGCATTCAGGAGGCTGAGGCAGGAGGATCACTGCAATTTCAAGGCCAGCCTGTACTACAAAGAGAGACCCTGTCTCAAAACTCCACCCCTCAAAAAATTAAAAATTAATATAATAAAGAAGTAAGCTCCCTCTCTAGGCCATCTGTGTCAAGTACAACAAGCAGCATGAGAAAGTGCCAAATAATTTTTTTGTCTGGTACCCGAGATTGAACTCAGGACCTTACACTTGCCCGGCAGGCACAGCACCACTGACCTATATCCCAGGCCCCGAAAGTACCAAATAATTACTTTGCAGAAAAGCTTTAGCAGGTGGTACGGCAGGTTATAGACGCAGGCAGCCATGAACCTATGGACTACAGTTTAGAGCTCTGGAGAGAGTGCCTGCTTCAACTCTTTCATGTATAAAATGTACAATATACACACTACCAAAAACTACTAGAGGTTCCAGTGGCACTGAAATGAAACAAGGTCACTCACCTGGTCATGTCCTTACTCTACCTGGCTCCCAGGGTCACCCTACAGGACAGAGTCTGTGCCTGCGCTTACCTTTGAGCCTGACCTGGCAATCGTGCCTAGGTTGGATACCAGCTCGTCCTGTGTCATCCCGATGCCAGTGTCCTGAGGAAAGAGACACTAAATGCCAAACATAACTCTGAGAATTGGGGTAAGGGCTGCAGTCAGTGACTCTGCCACAGAGCTCCTCTAGTGCCACCTGCCTTGGCTCAGATGGGCACATATGCCTGGGGCTTTTCATAGATGGAGTGGTCTTGTCACCCGTTTCTGTTTGGGAAAGCCAGCATCCTTTCTGAAGTGTGTGGAGATGATGTCTGTGTGACAGAGTGATTAGGTGGATACAGATGGCTTCACTGACACCAGCCAGATGGGCCAGGGAGCACACCCCATGCTCATCACAAAAGCCCAAGTCCAGGCATGTAAGCCGCAACTCCTCAAGAGAAAACTGGAAGGGACAGAAGGAATCAACATTAAAACAACACACATGAGCCAGGTGTGGTGGGGCAGGCCTATAATCCCAGCCCTCGGGAGGCTGAGGCAGGACTGCTGTGAGTTTGAGACCAGCCTGGGCTAAATAGTACGGTCCAGGTCAGTCTCAACTACATAGTGAGACCCCGTCTCAAACCCCCCCGCAACACACACACACGAGCCGGGTGTGGAGGCGCACACCTGTAATCCCAGCACTCGGGAGGCTGAGGCAGGAGAATCACTGTGAGTTCGAGACCAGCCTGGGCTACATAGTGAGTTCCCGGTCAGTCTCAACTATACAGTGAGACCCTGTCTCAAAAAACTATGACTAATAGGTTAGAGGTTCTAATGGAAGAAATGGACAGCATGCAAGAGTACATGGACAATATAAGCAGGAGATGAAAACTCTAAGGAATAACAATGAGGAAATGCTAGGAACCAAAAGTTGTGACAGAAAAGAATGCCTTTGACGAACTCATCAACAGACAACACAACCAAAGAAAGAACCAATGTTCTTGATAATATATCAACAGCAACACGCAAATCTGAAGCACAAAGATGAATGAAGAAGATGGAACAGGCTAAGAACAGATTATGAAGACTAATCTGGGATTTGAATATCCAAGAGACAATCAGAAAGTCATAAATACGCATGGTGGAATACCAGAAGAAAAAGAAAAAGATAGTAGAAATATCTGGGATTTGAATATCCAAGAGACAATCAGAAAGTCATAAATACGCATGGGAGAATACCAGAAGAAAAAGAAAAAGGGATAGTAGAAATATTTGAATGAGAATTTCCCAAACTTAACAATAGACACCAACTACAGGTCTGAGGGACTTAAGAGTACCAAGCAGCACGCGCAGACACGCACGCACACACACACACACACACAAAATCTACATGTAGTTGCAGCACAAGAGGAAATCTTTCTCCACTCCAGAGTAAATCTTGAAAGAAGCTCCACTGAGGAGCAAAGAATTCTGAAAGGGAGGGATGGGGAAAGGGATTAAAAAAAGAAACAAGTTGTAGTGTGTACACTACTCACCCCTCAAGATGACTGTAAGCTGCATGTACTGTAAGCATGAACTAATGTAATTCTTTTAAATTAAAAAATAATTCTCGCCGGGCGTGGTGGCGCACGCCTGTAATCCCAGCGCTCGGGAGGCTCTGTGAGTTCGAGACCAGCCTGGGCTACATAGTGAGTTCCAGGTCAGTCTCAACTACATAGCGAGACCCTGTCTCAAAACAAACAAACAAACAAACAAAAAAAAATTCTTTCAGACTTTTTTAAAAAACTATTCAAGCCTAAGAAGAGTGGAATATTCAAAGTATTGAAAGAAAAAAAATCATTAATTTAAAAATCTTTAGCAAAACTAACCTTCACAAATGAGAAATATTTTCTCAGAAGTACAAAAATCAAGAGTCTTTGTCATGCAGAAAATGTTAAGTTTTTGAGAAAGAAAATGATATAGGTCTGAAGCACAAATTTACAAAAGGAAAGATCATTAGAAAAGCAGTAAGTTAAGGCAAAACATTTTATTTTACTTATTCTTGATTGCTCTAATACATACGATCTTGTTCAAAATAGTAACATCTATGACGTATTCAGTGATTATATCTTGTGGATAAATAGAATGACAGCAGTGTCATAAGGTATGGTAGGAAGAATTGAGACTACTTAAAAGGTACTGTCCTAACCATGAAATGGTACAGTGTTATATTTGATTTGTTTGTTTGGGTACCTGGGATCAAACGCAGGACCTTCCACTTGAGAGGCAGGCAGTGGCACCACTGAGCTGAATCCCCGGCATATATTTAAAAGCAGACTTGGAAAAGCTGAATAATAATGGACTTAAGGACAAAGACTTTAAAAATTAAAAAAGGGGTTCTGGGCATGGTGGTGCATGCCTGTAATCCCAGCACTCGGGGGCTGATGCAGTGATTCAGGAAGATCGCCTAAATTAAAGGCCAGTCTGGGCTACACAGTGAGTTTAAGGCCAGCCTGAACAACAAAGTGAAACCCTGTCTCAAAAAAAAGAAAAAAAGAAGAATGGAAGGAAGGAAAAGAGAGAAAGAGAGAGAAAAAAAACTAACTCACTTTACCACTGCCTGCCTTGCAAATACAAGGTCTCAAGTTTGATCCCCAGAAGGAAGCTCATTTTAAATATAAAGACAAAAGCAAATTAAAATTACAGAGGTGGATGAAGATATACCAGGCTAACACTAACCAAAAGAAAGTTAGAATAGATTCATTAATTTCAGGCAGAGTAGACTTCAGAGCAAGGAAGTGTCTCAGAGTTAGAGAAAGGCATTATAAAAGAGTTACTTCTCCAAGAAGATCTAATAGTGTATGTGCCTAACAAAAGAATATAAAAATATGAGGTAAAAACTGATAAAACTGCAAGAAGAACTGCAATACAGATAAATTCACTATTATGGTTGGAAATTTTCACAACCTTCCTTCAAAACTTAACAGGCAAAAAATCAGTAAGGAGGGCTGGGGATTTAGCTCAGTGGTTCTGCCGCCTGCCTCGCAAGCAGAAAGACTTTGAGTTCCATCCCTGTTACCAAAAAATAAATAAACAAGTATTTCCCTCCATTTTATGGGTATTTTCATGCTTTTGTGTACTAACTTTTTCTTTCATTGCTTCTACTTTTCTTTTGCTATCTAGAATTTATGGCCAAATCCAAGGTCATAAAGATTTACTCCTATTTCCTTCTAAGATTGTGCTACACTGGACCTTTGACTTACGAACACAATTCATTTGCAAGGGCTGGTTGTAACTCAAGTTGGTTGTAAGTCAAGGCTATTTTTCCCATAATGCATTCCAAACCTCCCAAAGCACCACTTAACTAACCTTCTCATAATAAAGGGTTGTATAATGTTCATAATTTACCAGAAACTCCAATAATTTTCCTAGCATAATCACCAAAAAGTTATAAAATGTGCCTCGTTTACAATTTCATACTGTACTCACCATGCAAGTTGACATCTTTGGGTTGCAAGAGGGAGGATAAAATGGAAGGCGGTTTTTGTCTGGAAGGAGTCCCCTTCCAAAAGAACATCAGAAGTCCAGCTCTCTGGTGTCCTTTCTCCTTGGGACAGTCTATAGCCCCCTAGGACCTGCTTCTGGCTGATTAGGTCTCAACCTTTTCAGCACTAAAAACTGGTCTAAGATTGTCTATTTAACAGTCTTGTAGTATGACATGACATTGTCATTAAGCAAGTGAATGCAATGATTAGCTTTTTCTGTGGGTGGGTCTTCTCTGTAAATGTTTGTAGATTTGTCCATTTTTTCAGGATTTCCTTTATTTTAGAACTTTACTGCAGATTGGTATTTCCCCTCTTCAGAAAGCTCCTCAGCTGCCATTCTGTTGCTCAGCCAGAAGTTGCTGAAATTCACCTGTAGACAATTCCTCTAAGTGTTCCTCCACCAGTGTCTACCTGCAAGCCTGTGGACTCTACAATAGTGACAATGTCATCAACCACAGGGTCAACTGAAGGCTCAGGCTCCTCCACATAGATTTTAAAGTCTCTCTCCTGTATAATTTTAGGCCACACTTTCTTCTAGGCAGATCTCAATGTCCTTGGAGAGACACTGGCTCAGGATTTCTCAACCCCACACAGAAAAGACCAGCATTCAGGTCATAACTCAAGACTTTGGTCACAAGCTAAAATTAAAATTCTGGTTGTAACCCAAGTTGTTCACATGTAAGGTTAACTAGAAGGTCCACTCTAGAATCTATTGCCAAATCCAAGATCATGAAGATTTACTATTATTTTTTTTTTTTTTTTTTTTTTTTTTTTTTTTTTTCCCTGAGACAGGGTCTCACTACGTAGATCAGGTTGGTCTTCAACTCACTACGAAGCCCAGGGATGTCCTGGAACTCAGAGTAATCCTCTTACCTCAGCCTCCTGAGTGCTGGGATTGCAGTGCACCACTAAGATTTGCACCACTATATTTGTCTTTGATCCATTCGAGTTTTTACATTTAAGGCTACTACACTCTTTTGCATGTGAACATCCTGTCATAACAGCATCATTTCTTAAAGATACTATTTGTTCCTTGTTATCTTGGCTTGTCAAAAATCAATTACCCTTAAATATATGGGTTTATTTTTGGAGTCTCAACTCTAGTCTACACATTTATGTTTATCCTTATGCTAGAACCAGTCTTGATTACTGTAAATCTGTATTGTTTAAAATAGGGAATTGTGTGTTCATATTTGGGTTCATGAGTATTTAGGATCCCTTGCAATTCCACAGGAATTTTAAGATGTTTTTCCATTTTTACAAAAAATTTTTTTTGGATAGGGATTATGCTGAATCTGTACATGGATAGGGGCAGTATTGCCATCTTAAAAATATTAAATGAAGATGACTTAATTTCAACATCAAAATTATGACCACTGTTACAAATCTTTAATAAAGATGAAAAACTTTTGCAGTTGAGGCCAGTATATCTATATGGAATCTTTCCTAATATTAAATAGCAAAACAGGTAGAGCTACATCACGCAAAAGGCAACAGTGACAGAATAAACACAGGGTAACCTTTCTAGATATTTCATCAGTTATTTCCCCTCCTGATCGCAATTTTAGCCATGTAGAAAATAGGATTATATGAGTCAGTATAAACAAAAATCTGAGAACACAATTATTTTCTTGTTCAATTTGTAAATTTCCCTAACCCCTGCCAAGACAAATGAAGAGGAGCTAGACAGATTTTTGGCTTTGTAATTTATGACCAAATCACAGACTTGGGGGAAAGGCCTTTCACTTCTTCCTGTTTAAAACATTAAGTGGGAAAATGTCAGAAGTTTTCAAAAATGAATTTCCAGGTGGGTGAGACTATGACAATAATAGTATATCCAACCTTTCCCTTTCCCTAAAAGTATCCAGGGGACTAGGGCAAAAAACAGTCTCTACTTGGAACAACATCACTTTTTCCATATACTTCTGTTCCACTTTGATTAATTTAAGGTTAACCAAACACAGGACAACCCTCACCTTTTAATATCTGAAACATTGCTTCATCTCCTTGGTTTGAGTATTTTGGCAAAGCAAGAAACATACAGTAATATTCCCACGGACGTAACATGGATCTAGTAAGTTTCTAGAGAAGTCACAACAGGGTCCAGGACACAGGGGTTCCATTATTTACCATGGGCCAAGGAGACACCTACCATTGCTGTGGATAACTTTGTTTCTCAAATGAAGGAATTAGGTTTAGCATTAAATCTCAATCATTTTTTACTTAGCTCTTGGCAGCTCTTAGAGTTCACTTACAGGATTTACTCAATAGGTGTTAATTAAATGCAGTGATTCCTAATCTAGAGGTAATCAGAATCATATGCGGAACTTTTCAAAGCTAGGTTGGAAGCTCTCCCTTAGGGTTTTAGTAGGCCGAAGGACAGAGTCCAGGCATTTCCTGTTTGAAAAGTTACACGAGTCAATTGAGCTCAGGTTTAAGGAAACTTAAGCCATACTGTAACCCATTTTACATAAATAACAATTGAATTAACTCAATCTGATGGGAGAAAAAATAAGTTCTATCTTTACAACTGTCCATCATCTATATTTTGATATTGTGAAAGTCTTGCTGATAGAGAACCATTGCCTCCTCCAGGGGTAGCTAATTCCTAGTTATAAAACTTGACAGCATGGGGCCGGGGATTTAGCTCAGTGGTGCTGCACCTAGCTCACAAGTGCAAGGTCCTACTTGATCCCAGGTACCAGGAAAAAAAAGAAATTGATAGCATGCCACTCATAAGCAAGGCAACTACCCCATTAATTTATATACCAAGCCATTATTTCCTTTTCCCTTCACCATCCCACAGACAGATGCCAAGCAATTAGCAACCACCCCTTCAGTCCAAAGCCTATTGCAATTAAACTAGCCAATCCTAAAAATTTTACTCTACCCTGATTTGCCTTTCTGCAGAAAGCCTAGGTGAAGTGGCAGTGAACCTATGGTATGTATGCTGCAGAAGAATGTATCATTGAAAGCTCTAAGGTCCACCAACACTGGCCTAGGCTTTCCCCTTGTTCCTACTTCCTCATATTCCTCAAGACCAAACACTGATGCTTCCCCCCTGTGGCCTTGCATAGTGTGGCACATGCAAACTCGTGAATAAACTAAAACCCATCCAATTACACACTTCCATTTTTTTCTTACATTTATTTACATTGACACATAATTGTACACATTTATGGGGTACAATGTATTGCTGTTTTTGTTTTTGGATACTGGGGATTAAACTGGAGACCTTGTGCTTGCAAGGCAGGCAGCTGCATCACTGATCTAAACCCCCCACAATGTATTGTTTTGCTACCTGTAAACATTGTATAATGATCAAATCTGGGTAATTAACATATCACTTCAAACATCTGTCATTTCTTTGTAGCAAAACGTTCAAAATCTTCATTATCTTGAAATAACTGTATGTTAACTTAGAAAAGGAAGTATAATCACAGTGCATAACTTGACAAAAAAATCACAAAAAAATCTTTTAACAGCTGAAATAGGAGTCTTTTTTGTAATAACTGGGTTCAGCCAAATACAAACAGCTGAACTTCAGCCAATCCAAGGCTCCTAAAGGATGAGACCATGACCAAACAAGGCAAAGGCTCTCCGTAACTAATCGTTATCTCTATACTTTATGTCTGTAGTCAGCTATATAAGCACGATGCCCTCGCTACAGAGCTCTCTGAACCCCTTTCCAGTTTGAGTGCTGCCTGATTCATGAATTTCTCTTTGCTTAAATTGTTAGATTTTGATGTTTTTCTTTTAATACATAAGAGTACCACAGGAACCAGAAATTAAAAACACCCAGAACCACATTCTTTTACACAGAATTAGCAGGTATGTATCACCTGTTTCTTTTTAAATCATTTACTTTACTGTTCCTTGTTTTTAGGTGAAGGAATGTCCAAAACTTCAATCTTGCCTTTTCCACCTTCTGAATTAGGAAGTTTAATATTATGCACGGTGACGCTGTCATCCCCATCCTCAGACTCTGAGCTGTCCTCTGAACTGTCTTGGGAACTCTCTTCTGAACTATGCTCTTCTTTTGAATCTGCCTGATTCATCTCAAATAAGACCACATCCATTTGTATAACTTTGCCAAGGGTCCTGTCAATATTTTCAATATTGAAATGATTAGGGGGAGTGGCTTCCATTTCTTTTCTGAGCTTTTCATTTGCCCGGGCCATCTGTGGGAGAAAGTTCTGAACTTGGTCTAGTAATGGACTCCTCTCTATCCGAACTGTTTGAAGAGTAGAGGGTGTTCTGGAATTAGGCTTAGAGTCGATGAGTAACTTGTCCCATATACCTCCTTGGCCATTACCCACAGTCAGCAGCTCTTTGGACACAGAGACCCCTGAGCACTCCTGGGTGGGAGACGAAGAACTTGAGCTGGCACAAGACTTGCTGTGGACCTCCATACCTCTGCAGTCAGCCTGAATTACACATTTAAATAAGTGAATTTTACAATATGTGAATCATATCTTAAAAAAAAAAAATCAGTGAAACATACTATCTTTTCTCCAAACCCAATCTTTCACACTTTTCCAGTGTTCATTATTTTAGTCATGAAAACACAGTCCACTCAGTTGCTAAAGCCAAAAACCCACTAATTAGATATTGGCATTTCTAACACTTTAATGCTTCTCCATCCCATAATTTGGGCCACCCAAATTTCTCACCTGGACTATAGTAATGTAGCAGTATCCCATGGGCTTCTTAGCCTCTAGTCTTGCCTCTCCCTTCTCATATTTTTTTTAAAGTCAGGGTCTCTGCACGTAGTTCAGGCTGGTGATCCTTTAGCCTCAGTCTCCAGGATGTTGGGATTACAGGCGTGTGGCACCAAAGCCCGACTTCAAAAAAATGAAAAGAAAAAAAAAAATTCTGGCCTCAAATTCGCGAAAATCCTCCTATCTTTGCCTCCAGTGCTGGGATTACAGGCGTGTGCCACCTCGCCCAGCAAATTTTAAAAAGGTCTGGAGATGTAACTCAGGTACTTGGTTCAATCCCCAGTATCACTACCACCAACAAAGAAAAAAAGTTGAAAATAAATCAAAAATACACTGACGAGGGCTGGGGATTTAGCTCAGCGGTTCTGCCGCCTGCCTTGCAAGCACAAAGACCGAGGTTTGATCCCTACCAAAACAAAAAACAAAACAAAACAAAAAACAAAACACTGACGGGCTGGAGTGTAGACTTTTTTACACTGCAATTAGAAGCAACTTTTAAAAACAAATCTTCGGCGGCTACCAATGGCTTTAACACGATGTATAAAGTCCCTCTTAGCCAAGCGTGCACGCCATAGTCCCAGCACTGAGAGGCTGAGAGAGAAGGATCACAAGTTTGAGTCTAGTTTGAGCCATTTAGCGAGACCCTGTCTCAAACTAAATCATTAAAAAGGCGAGGGATGTGGCTCAATGCAAAGGCCCTGGGTTCCAACCCAGTACTAAAAAACGAACGAAAAACCTCCCTCAAATGTCAGCCATGGCGGACCTCTTCATCCACGCTTGGCCCTCAGTGAGGCTGAGCTCGGGCGTCCGCTCCCGCCTCGGCGGACGCGGTCTAATGCCTCACCCGGCTAGCAGACCCCGGACCTCGCTTCCCGGCCCGCTCCAAGAAGGGACCTCGGTGGACCTGGATCTGCTGACTCTTCCAGCTCAGGTGTGCTTCGGCGCGTCCGCCAGCATACTTCAAAAACATTCCCGTAAAGCTCACCACAGTGCCCAAACCCACCCTGACTCTTCCTCAGCACTTACGACACCTCTTCCCGCG